ATACAAGTTTCACTTTTTAAATGGAATTACTGAAATCAATCTACTTTTTCATGATATTCTAATTTTATGACCAGCACCTGTATATGAGCACATTTCAACATAAAGATAAAAAATGTCTTAATTCAATAACATATTCTCTTATCTTTCCTATGTTTCTTCATAATTGAAAGAATGTTTTGAGGTGTGTTTTATCTGATTGCTTTAAAATGACATTAGATCCCATTGTTGCCTCGGTCAGTGCTCCACTGAAAAAATATCTTTAAAAACATTTGAATACCTTCAACACTACAAATGCTCTAATGAAGTTATGAAAAACAGATTCCAGTTAGAAAATGTCCTGCTCTCCACATAACCGGTTCATTGTCTATTAAGTGTTTCATCACCAAGACGTGAACATTTTCCCTTTCAAGTCCCCCATTCTAGTCTCTGTTGTGATTACAAAGTGTTTTCTTAGCCTTTGTTAAACAATCTTTGTTGTTTCAGCTGTAGCTGGCTTACTTCCAGGGAAGCTGTGTTCACAGCAAGATTTCCATTTTCATCAGCATCCAGAACACAACAAAGACACATATGTTAGAGAAAAGCAAGAAGCTGTGGTGAACAGTCATACACTTCAGATATGGAAGTGTCCAGTGATAGGCTTTTTTGCTGCAGTTGGCTGCGCCGCAGGGTTCCCATAGCCCACAGAGAGGAACTGTACCACATCCTGAGGATGACAGGGCCTCTGGTAAGAACTGGCAGTCTTTTCCTGGCTTGACTGTAAATTGTAACAAAATGATTGATGACAGCTATTTTGGACCAAAAAAAGGTTTAAGAGGGATAAGGCTTACAGGTAGGACAGTGTTCAGCAGGTTATAGATGGTGCTTGCTGCTAAAGTAATGGTGGTGTGAAAGCTCATCAATAAAATCAAACTGCTGTTGACAACAATAATTAATTGAAACTGGTTCTTACTTTGATTTTATTCACAAGTTGGTAGCTGCTTCAACAGTAATACAAACTTTTTCTTTCCAGCTGCTGTCTCGAATTCTCAATTACCTCCTGCCTTTTGTGATCACAATGTTCTGTGGGCGTCTGGGAAATGAAGTAATGGCTGGCTACGGACTGGCTTCTGCTGTAAGTGATCAGCTGAATGTTTCAACGACACATATAGGGACTGTGGTGAGGGAAATGACAAATGATCACACAGTTTTAAAACCGCTGATGCAGAGAAAATTAAATACCTCTAAACTCACTAAATCACTTTAGTCACAAGTACTTGGCTTTGATTAATGACAGTTTGATAAATGTGTCAAAAAAATTTTTGTTGAGTGAAAGGAACATCGCTTCCAGCAGCCTGCTTTCATTTCAGACCATTAACGTAACCACTGTAGCAACAGGGTACGGGCTGGGACTGGCGTGTGATACCCTGGTATCTCAGGTTTGGAAAACTGCTTTTTGTATTAGATAATTTATCACCCTTAAATATTTTTTTTTAGGTATGGTGTTTAAAATGTGTTTGACATTGACAGACGTTTGGAGGTAAGAATCTGCTGCAGGTGGGAGTGATACTTCAGAGGAGCATCATCATCTTGCTCTTGTTCTGTCTGCCTTGCTGGGGGCTGCTCATCAACGCACAACCCATCCTCTTATGTGTGGGGCAGGACCCTGAGGTGGCCAGGTACCTTACTGCAGTAAATATACTGTAGTACTAATCATTCTATTACTACCAGTAACAGACCTTTTCAGAACTTACAGTAGAATACAGGTAAAACAAGTGAGGGATTTACCCTGTGTGTTCCAAAAAAGCAACATTTTCATTCAGAAAAAAAAAAAGTTATTCTACTTCAGGAATGTGATGGATGTTATGGATCATTGCTAAATATAATGACTGGAAAAAATATGTGGGCCTTACAGTTCTAGACATGGGCTAATGCCTATATCTATTATACTATTTCAACTGTATCATATCTTCTAATAAGAGGAGACATACTAATTCCTTTGGCTGATTTTCTTATTTATCTGCTCAAGTTAAGGGTACAGTAAGTGCACTTATTTTAAGAACATTCATACTTATTTAGATCATTTTTTTGCAGTGCAATACTAAATCAGTTTATTATGATGGCATGTGCTTAAAGAAGAGACTGTAAATAAGTCTTTCCTTGGACCAATTTAACATTTTACCTTAATAGTTCACTTTGAGATTTAATTCTTAATTTTTAATTAATTGCCAAAGTGAATTAATTAAGAATTAATTAGCTTTTTTGGCCATATTAATGTGGGATCACAGTTTTTATCTGTTCGATCAGTGGTCTACAACCTTCGCTTCTGGCTCACCTAAAATACTAAACATTCGCTCTTGTGTTATTTTTAATTTTTGTGTTTTTGTTATTCTTTTCCTGTGCCACCAACAAGAAACAATGTCCCAATTTGTCTATAACCACCTTACATCTCTTAAATCTTGCATGTGAATTTACCAAGAGTTTTAAAACTGGCAAACCAGTGTTAAACTTTGTAATTTTTTATAACACATCTAATAAATGCTATTTTTTTAACAATGCAACACCAGGTAGGACATGTCAGACTGTTTTTGCCAAATTAAGAAAAAATGTATCTTTCGCTCACCATTGTTGTATTTATTTACAGAATTGCCCAGCTCTATATAACAGCCTTCCTTCCTGCAGTGCCAGTAAGTCACACATTTCATCTCACATTTATTTTAACAGTGAACATAATTTTTTTTTTTTTTTTTTTTTTATTCTTGGCAATATCTGTGTTTAGAATATGTAGTAAAAAAAAATCTAACTTTAAGGTGTTTCTTTATAGGCAATGTTTCTTCACAACCTTCAGGTGTCTTACCTGCAGAACCAGGTGAGTCCATCTCTAAAATCAGAGGCCAGCTCTCTCTGTTGATTTGTCATTGTTACCCTTTGGTATTTAGATGGAGTAAAAATGTTGACTTCATGTTGATTTTGATGTTTGTACTGCATTCCTAGGGTATAATACTTCCACAACTCTACACAGCTGCAATGGCAAATGTAGCAAATGTTGCCACAAACTATCTCTTCCTTTACTGGATGAAACTTGGAGTCAGGTAAGCATGCACATGTACCGCAGGATAAGTATGAGCAGCACAATAACTCACTTTAATTATCACTGTCACAGTGGGGTGGAGGTTTGACACGACCCAAATGCAGACACTGAAGCTGAAGTGGTTTCTTGCAAGATTTAACTAACCAAAAGGGTAACAGAAGCAAAAATCCGAAAACATAAATCCTCAAAAGCCGAGAACCAGGAATACTCACAACAAGAGGGCAAAGAAATGATGACAAACCACCAAAGAGTGACTGAACAGGAGGAGAACATGTGGGAGAGAAACAAAGAACAGGCTAATTAGCAGATTGAGAGCAGGTGTGAACAAAAGCAAGAAGGTAGCTATAGGGAGAAAAGGAGACTGACACAAGACAGCAAACCAGAACTATCTAAGAACTCCAATACAATCAAAAATAGCTAGAATACAAAAATGGAAATAAGACCAATGAAAACTCAGAGATAAAAACAAAACCATGACAATCCTGCTGTTTTGTTTTGCAGTGGTTCTGCGGCAGCAAACACTTTGTCCCAGATATACATCTGTTCCTTTCTTTTTGCTTACATCTGGTGGAAGAAGCTGCATGTAAAAACATGGGATGGTGAGGGACAGGGTCACAGATCATAACTTTTGCTTTGCTTTCAAACTAGTTTTGATGGTATGATTAAGCCTCTATCTCCCTCTACAGGCTGGTCTGTGGAATCACTGCAGGAGTGGGGCTCATACATGAAACTGGCCATTCCCAGTTCCTTAATGAAGTGTTTTGAGTGGTGGGTTTATGAACTTGGAGGATTCCTTGCAGGTAATTTACACACACACATAAACTCAAATCATATGTAACAATAACACTGAGTCACAACATTCATAAATGTCTGTAATAAACAGGAGTGCTGAGTGAGGAAGAGCTGGCAGCCCAGCATGCTGTGATCATGGTGACTTTCATCACTTACATGGTACAGTGCTGTAACTTTATCTCAGAACATCTTTCTTTTTAACGGGAATCAGTTCAAAATAATTTACACACTTTATGTTATAACCCTGAACACACAGTTTCCACTGGGTGTTCAGGCTGCTACATGTGCTAGGGTCGGGAATGCTCTTGGTGCAGGAGACAGCGCCAGGGCCCTTCTGACCAGCAAGGTCTCACTCTGTCTTGCAGGTCAGTTAAATCTATATCTTTTATTTTTTCCTGTGTCTCTTGTAATATTTTAAACGTCTTTTTGTGCAGCTACCTTTGCGGTTGTGGAGGGTGTTGTGCTTGGATGCTCCAAATCGGTGATTGGCTTAATCTTCACCTCTGATGAGTGGGTCTGCACAGTTGTATTTACATTAAAGTCACAGTAATACTCATTTAAAATATCACAGCACACTTAAACGATAAAATGTTCCTTTTAGGAAGATTGTAGGTTTGGTTTCCGATATGATGAGTGTCTACTGTTTCCTTCAGTTCTTTGATGCACTTGTAGTAAGTCCTAAGAATTTATATTTTTTATTCTTGAACATTTTTAATATTTTTTGGAATGAATACTCTTTGTTATTCAGAAAGTAAGATGTGTTTCATACTATAGGGTGTGTGCACGGGCATTTTCTTGGGAACAGGAAAGCAGAAGATACCAGCAGTGGCAAACTTCATTGGATACTACTGCATAGGGCTTACGCTGAGTGTCACTTTGATGTTTGTTGCAAAACTAAGAGTTTTAGGTATTTAACCATAGTCCTTGTTTGTTTCTCTTTTTCCATAAATGACCTGTTTTGCACTTAATTACTTGTGCTTTTCTGCACAGGTTTTTGGGTGGGACTTCTGGTTTGTGTGATTTTGCAATCAACTTTCTTCATAATAATTATCTTCAGGCTGAACTGGCAGAAAGTAACAGAGGAGGTAATGTATGCACTACCATGGAAGAATTCTCATGAACTCTGAACTTATGTCACGTTGCAACCAACAAATGTGTGCTTTATTGTGACTTTAAATAAAACAAGCTTGTGAAGTTAGGAGAAAATGATACAGAGCAGGTCTCACAAACCTTCCATTGCTGAAAAGTTTGAACCAGAGGTAGGAAATGTGGAATCATCTCCAAGCCATGTGATTGTGGAGGTTAGTCCAATCTGCAGATTAATTAATTCACTGTGCAAATTGGACTCACCTGGTTCTTTTTCTTCTTCTTTTGTGAGGTTTGGATTGTGGAACTACATGTCAGTATATTAACCAATAAATTTATATACTCTACATCCATAATATAATAACCCAATATCCTCTATCTTTATCTAATATAATTATTACTTTTATTAACAATATCTTTAACTTTTATGTTCCAGATCCTGTTCTTCCCTACATCCCCAGCCTTGTAACTATGCTTTCCTAACTAACTTCTTTGAGTCGTAAGTTCAATGATCCTGATTTTCTGATCTTATGCTAAGCATGGTCTGTGCATTTGATAACATAAGCTATGAATAGAATGAGTTTTTCTTGCGTCGGAATGAAGTTATCTTCTCTTTCTACTTTATTTGGCTTTTGTACCTGATTCTGAGCTTGATTCATTTCTCTGTAGTGTAGGTGTCCGAGTGCTGACACCTGTAGCATCCGAGTGGATTTGGAATGAACGGCCTAACTGGGGAACTCATGAAAACTATTTTAACTCTCTCTGGTAGAACTGACACTGAAAACTCTATCAGCAGTGACGTGCTTGCCACCCTTTCCCCCTGTATGTTTTCATACAGTCTCTGTATCTTATTAACCTAGCGTAATAATGTTCATCTTTAATTGATCTAAATCCCTATTAACTGGGATTACTGTTATTATGTACTCCTTTCACAGTTTTATTCTCTCCTGTGACTTTTTTCTCTGTCATCTCTCTTTGACCTAAGTGTTCACCGCTCTGTTTTTTGCTCCTTATTATTTCAAATTACCAGTAAGTTTCCATCTCTCAACTCCTGCACTAATCTGACGTTCCCAATTTTCTTAGTTGTTTCTCTGGATATTTAAAATAGGGCCCAAATGGCTCTGTTTATCTCCAGCACTGAATCTAAATATTATTTTTATACCTTCTATGACAACCTTCCTTCGCCTAACTCTTTCTACATCTGAACTGCTTCCTTCTAATTCCAGTTTATTCTCCTCTTTTACCTCCTCTATCTCCCTTTCCCATTTGAAAATGTTGTCCAGCCTGCCTCATCTACCAGACTTGCCCTTTTGTTCCATCCACCCACCCGTAAGGCAAAAAACGTTTTTTAGAAATGACTCCTCCAACTGTGTCTTTATTCTGAGCAGCAGCTGTTCACTCCTCCACCTTTTGCCCAAACATCATCCTCACACTTTGCTTCCCGACTCACCTGGTTCATTTGCTGAGCAGAACAAATGCATGGCATGGAGATGACTTGTTAACTCCACATCTCCCACCTGTGGTTTTAACACAAAATCCCAATAGTAAAACCTTGTATTTCCAGCATCATGCTATAGAGATCATTTTAGCAAGCCAAAAGAATGAGAGGGAAGCTGGTCAGAATGTGCTGGAAGATGAGTTAGACTCAGTCTAGCATTTTGATTTTGTTTGAGACTCTCATACAGAGTGAAGGTTGAACAGTTAATTGAGACAAATGAATGGTTCTTCCAGATTCACAGGAGAAATCTGGGATGGCAGTAAGGAGAAGAGCTAAGTTATAATTATAGGAAATTGGGTTCAGATATAATTGGTGAGATGAATAGCTTACTGCTGGACAGATGGTGGAGTTCCAAGAGAGGAAGAAAAGTATTTCCACAGAGGCTGAGATCAGTAGGTAGAAGAGAGCAGTGCTTGTTGAATATGACCTCTTGCTTCCTTCCATGATTTTTAAAGGGGTTCTGATAGCATGAACCAGGGGTGCAGCTAGGTGAGTGTTGATGAGATTCAGTGAGAGAGTATCAATGGCTGGTACTTCAATAAACTCCTGAGAGTTGGCAGTATCCTGTAATCCAGGTACAAAGTATGAACTGAGACACTGGTTTCAGCTCATAGAGCAAGATATAACATCTGCCTCAGGGAATCTGCTCCTCTTTAAGCTCTTCCTGAATTGCCCTGACAGTTGCAGCTGTGAGAACACACCTGGCAGTCACATCCCACTATTAGAGGTGAAGGCATACACATACCAACCAGAACCGACAGCCTGATGGATATTGAGCCTAAACATACAGCCAGAGCTTTCGAGGAATCTTTTACATCAGATCATATTGCAGCATTATATTGGTTGCAGCGTGACAAAGGAAAAAAAAAGTTAATGTATAATCTTGCTTGTTTTATTGTGAATTAAGACTCCTGCAGTTTTGTTCAAGAACTTACAGGTATACTTTTTAATATTCTTTTCTCATAGGCTGTAAAACGAGCTCAGAAAGCCATGCACATGACTTTGTTAAACTCCTCTGGCTTCTCAGAAACTGAGCAAACTGCAGATCAAACAGCCAGCAATGACAAAGTAAGCAAACATCTACAATTAAAACATTTTTATTATTCTATTGGTACTTTTATTACAATGTAAAATGTTTCTACTATTTCAAACTTGAATAGAAAAAAATGGGAAATGTTATACTTATTTACAGGCAACAGACGGATACATTTCTGTCAATACAGAGGGTCAGGATGGAAACACGGATCGACAAGGAGGCCATGATGTCCAGCAGCTGAAAGAAAGACAACTTTCCACCACCCAGCTGATCATCAGAAGAGGCCTTGCCATGTTTGCTGCAGTTGCTCTTTTAGCTGTGGGAGCAGCTGTGCACTTCCTTGTTCCTTTGCCAGAGATTCAGTCTGCAGAGGGCAACCATACTGCTACTGACTGGATCAATGCAACATACACTCCTGATCCAATTTTCTCCACCATGTTGTTCCCTAATGGACAGTCAAAGTGAGTCGAAGCTAACATAAGCTGGTTTGACTCAGCTCTTTGTCAGCATTGACTGTAAAGATCAAGATAATGATTAGGGATGATTTTTTTTTTTGTCATTCCAGAGAATACTCTCGCTTTCTGAGATTAAATCATTAATAATCATATATTGCTTCTCCTGTTTTCTCTTTGCTTCCTGCTTATCTTCATGTGTGTGCCTTCTCCTGTCTGGCTGTGTCCTGCAGTGCAACAGCCACACCTTCCTTTGCAGTTGCGGCAGAGCCTTTGCTCCCTGAACAAGATAGGCATCATTCATAGTCAGGTAACCAAGTTCGTGACAAGCAGGTTTATGATGATTCCAGTAGCCAGGATGAACAGCATGCCAGCCAGAGCGAGACCTCTTCGAAGAACCAGACTCCTGTAGGAGCGCTGGACTTCCTGGGTTTGTACTGCAGAGACCTCTTCAGCATCAACCAGATCTCTGGTGTCTGTTGGGCTCAGTGATGTTCCTGCATCTTCTGGTTGGGGACCTGGTCATCCAGGGGAGGAAAAGATGTTTAGAGACTTTTCACATAACTGACTACAAGAATGTTTGAACCTTACTTATTGATTTTTTTATTACAACCAGGTGCCTTCCATATCTTCAATAAGTGGCATAGTTGATTAAAAAGCTAACTCAGACATTGATCATAGAGATCAACAAACAAGAATGAAAACAAGAACTGGACAGTTTGAAACTAACAGAGTGGTCACACTGCTAAGCTTGAGTCAAAAAATGGACTCAAAGATAATGACAAGAAGGTTATAACCAGTTCTGAGGCTTATTTACAGTTTTTGACTATTGACACAGATCTTATAAGTGGATGTAATGGATGGGATCTTAAGATTATAATGGAAAAGGGGATCGATTTGTGAAATTTTAGATTGCTTCTAATTATTTTGTGTACACTGTAATTCTGGTGACTACTGGTTGTCGTATATCAAGGCATTAGACAACCAGTAGTCCATATCATACATAGTTAATTGGAAAAGGTTTAATGTTCCTCACGGGGCAGATTCTACTTCAGTCATTTGTGTCCAAGATTTTCAGGTAATTTTTTCATATTCAGTGGTAGAAAGAAGCTTGAGTTGATAAGATAATTGGCAACTTTCTTAGCAGGATGACTTAACCTAATCCCTTCTGCCTGAGAGGGAGCTGATGAGGTACAGTACATCTTTTCAATTACTGATCCATGTACTTTCCAACACAAATTTTTATTTTATAAGATGCCATATTTGTAACAACTTCTGCTTATTTTGAGGGAAGACAACTGGGGGAAGTGTCACCTAATTGTGCCTTAGAAGGATTATTAAATATTGATTGTTGATGTTGAACATAATGCTGAAATACTTTTCCAGAGTGAAGGGCTTGAAGATTAGTTACTTGAACTTGGAAATATGTTTCCTTGCCTTAAAATTTTGATTTCTAGGAGCATACTTTCTGGAACTTTTCTCATGCCTTTTGGAACTTTAAGATTGCTTTCTAAAACTAAGGAATTACTTTGTTATGCACAGATGCTATTAGGTGCTATAGTCTTTGGAAACTAGACACTACTTCCAAAAACTACAACTCACATTTTTATATTTAGAGGTTACGTTCTTGAACAAAGAGAGGTTTCTTCAACTTTAAAGTTACTTTTCAAATATAAGGAATTTCATCTACTGACCTGGCTTGTACAGTATTTTGCAACCTGGTACTTTGTGTAATTGAAGAAGGTAATTTGTTTCTCAATCAGTTGTTGTAACATTAGATAAGTTGTCAGTGAGGTCTAAAAAAAGGTAAGTTGAAAAAGTTAAAAAGCTAATTGAAAAGTTAAGTTAAAAACTTAATAACCTAAGTAAGGAAGTAAGAAATGTAAGTGCCTGTATCAGCATTAATGTTCTTAAGGTTACGTTGCAAGAAAAAAAAATAGTTTCTTTCACTCTGTGAGTGTTTTTCATGGATTTCTGAAAGAATAATTTTTTCTTAGTTTTTTTTAACATATTAAGGCAAGTGACCATTTGTTATTACATTGAACTTGATTTTTTCCATCAAGCTACCGATATTTCTTAAATGTTACAAAAGTAATACGGTCTTGTACTGTCCTCCAATAACACTCTTAGCTTGAAGTTTTGACTTTCAAAGTACTCCACTGAGTGTCCTATAAACGGTTAAAACTTGTACTATATCTTGTTTCCTCATGCTCATAGAATGGATGATGAGCAAGGATGACAAAAAGTCTCAAGATAAACAATGTTCCACTCTGCCCTATTAATGGTGATATAGTATCATGCTGAACAAGGACAGATCTCATGATAGAAACTAAAGAAAAGGAAGAAAGGGGAATTCATTTTTCCAAGACTTTCAATTCAGGCTGTTAGTTGAGGACTTTTTTCTGTTTATACGTCATTCCTGTTTAGGGGATTTTTTCTGTCACTGGTAAGAGTCAGGTGCTACAGTGTGGGGTTTATGTTAAAATGAGGTAATCAGATAACTGTTTTATTAGTCACAACTGCACCACATAGACTTTCTTTTATTGTTTCATAATAGAAAATATCTACATAAATATAAGAACCTAAACAAATAATTAACACATACTTGTCTCTGCTGAGCTCTCAATTACCCCTGCTCGGATCCTTGCCTAGAAGATAAAGCAATGTTTAAATCAATGTTAATAAAGAAAAAAAAATTTCAAAATAAGCAACATTTATCTCTGAGACTAACCTCAATTGTTACTGACTTCCAGTTCATTCTGAGGAGATAGAAAATCAGGAATGCGCACTGAACTGATACACAGGTAAACAAGCCAGTCCATAGACCTTGGTAATAGAAAGCGTTCCCATTATGTTGTCATTTAAGATGTAAAGAAAGAAATGGAGGCAGAGCATTTCAGGAGACTAAGAACTGTAGATGTTACCCTTGATTCCTTGTTTGGCTGCAAACATCAGGGGGATTCCGATTGGAAAACCGATGCCATAATATCCCAAGAAGTAGCAAATAGCCCCAACTCTCTGTTTACCTGCTCCTCTTATAATACCACCAGAGGCCGCCTGGTCATTAAAGGGAAAAAAAGCAAAAGGTTACACTTCCTAAACAGAAGCACAGTGGCTGTTAAAAAAAATTACAAATCCCCCTTAAAGGAATAGTACACCCAAAACATGATTAGCCTTCATTTTCTACGCACCCCCATGCTGAACAACACTCTGGAGTACTTTTTTGATATCTCAAATGCATCTGGAGATCTGGGAGGCTTCTTGCTGTCTGCTGACATTCAAATAATGGAATTCAAAACATGTCTATGGTGCCCGAGGCAGAAGGTCCATAAAAGTCCACAAAAAACTTTCATCTGGTTTGGTCTGCCGCGGTTTCCGTAGACTCGTGAACGCGCTTTTAGGAAATCCTATACACTACTGTTTATGCTCTAAAAACATTCTAAATGACTTTGTTTTGAGTAAATTGTGGATGCTACCCACTCAGGACACTTGGAATACATTGGACGAGCAGTATGGAGGAATATTGACACGTTTTTTGTGGACTTTTATGGACCTTTCTGCCTCGGGCGCCATAGACTTCCATTATTTGAATGTCAGCAGACAGCAAGAAGACCAAGATTTATCTCTATATCTTCTGCTTTGTAGCAAACTTGAAGGCTTTGGGTCAAAGCATTTCTGTTTGTTTTAATTACTACTCTAACTACTGATCCCTGGTTGTTATAGAGTATATATATGTATATAAAAAAAAATACTCTTCCTCACCCAGTGCGGGCGGTCTACCTTTTTTCCTCCAAGCTCGGGTCCTCTACCAGTGGCCTGGGATCTTGAAGGTTCTGCACAGTATTTTTGTTGTTCCTATAGCTGCACTTTTCTGGAACGAGATGTCTGATGTATTTCCTGGGATCTGCTGTAACCACTCCTCAAGTTTAGGGGTCACTGCCCTATATCAACCACAAAAGCTTTCTTCTGCTTTTTGTCCACCACCACAATGTCCGGTTCGTTTTCCATTACCATTTGGTCCGTCTGTATCTGGAAGTCCCACAGGATCTTGGCTTGGTCTTTCTCTACCGTCTTTGGAGGTGTTTCCCTTTTTGATCTTGGGGTTTCCAGCCCATACTCTGCAAAGATGTTCCTGTACACTATTTCAGCCACTTGGTTATGGCGCTCCATGTAAGCTATCTCTGACAGCATCTTACACCCTGCAGTTATATGCTGGATTGTCTCAGGGGCCTCTTTGCACAGTCCGCACCTGGGGTCTTGTGTGGTGTGGTAGATCTGGGCCTCTACTGCTCTGGTGCTGAGGGCCTGCTCCTGCTGTCCTTCAGTCCCGCTTTGTCTAGCCATTGGTAGAATTTCCTGATATCTGCCACTTCGGGTATGTTTGGGTGCTCCATCCCATGTAGGAGCTTATCCTCCCATGACGGAACTTCCAGCACCTCATTTTCTGTTCCTTATTGTCCGAGACATTCACTGAGCACGTCATCTGTTGGAGCCTTGTCCCTGATGTACTTATGAATCTTGGTGTTTCATCCTGGATAGTAACTATTATGCTCACTAGTCCTCGGTCTCCTTCCTTACAGATGGCGTACAGTCTCAGGATGCTGGATTTGGGGTGGTACCCTCCATGCATGGTTAGGAGCTGTGACCTGTATTTTATCCTTTGGCCAGCTTATTATTCCTGCAGGGTATCTGATTACTTGGTTGTTTTATATATATATTCTGTAATATTCTTTTTTGTCCTCTTCTGTTGCTTGTTTCCTTTCTTAATCATTCTTAACTTTTTTATCCTACTGAGAGAGCTTTCTGAATCAGATAAATGCATACCCACCTACACAAACAGACGTCATCACAACCTTTCAACTATTTCCATTTTTCCCTTTCAGAGTAGTGTTTTTATAAAGGCTGAAATGTTTTTCAGTGGTTTTGTAAGAACAACTAGTTGAATCATAAAAAAAATGCACTTTTGATATCTAGTTTACTTTGATTATAATTTCTGAATGTTTGTTTTACAAAATGATAGATACCTACCGATATGGCATCCAGGAGGATGAATGGAGCGTAAAAAGATATTATTTCTGCAACTCTTTCCCTAATTTGCCTGCAACAAGAAATGTTTTTATAGTATTATATTTTTGCATTTAGTTTTATAGTATTTTATATCACCATAAATGGAATTAAACCTAATTTCATTTAAACTAACTGTCTTAAAAATTGAGCTAAAAATTATCATACATTGCTAATATTCTTATTGAGACTGAACAGAGTACAGTAACTGACTGCAATTTATACAAACCTTTAGACCTAGTTATTATGTCACACAATAGTAAACCAGGTTTCCAGATTTATGGTTAGATAAGGCCTGTTCTGTAATTCTCAAAGGTCATTTAAGATCTGAGTCATGTCTTCTGGAGGTTAGTCATGTGAGTGTGACTTCACACTCTCATAAGACACCTTTTACACATTAACAATAGCTGGGTTAACATTAAAGTTGTACTTACTCATCATATGTAAAAATGTAGGAGATGTGATCCTTCAGACTCCCAATGAGCACTGCCATGCATATAGACACTGACCCTGTTGCAAAAAACCTGTTAAATTAGCTGTACAGCTGCTAGACTTGTACAGTAAGATCGCTCACAGAACACAAAGCTAATGTATTTTAACATATTGCTATTTAAGGCCATTTCCTACACAGACAGCAGTGTGAAAGAAAATAATTGACTTAATTTTTATTTGTTACTTTTGAAGCTTCTGCTTTCCAATCCTAACATATAGCTGGGATCAGAGATTTTCAATTACTCATCATGTGAATGATGTAATAATAATCTTGGGCTAAAATTGTTTTATTTATAAAAAAATTATTTGAGGGGTTAAGGACAACCCCAGAATGCAGTCTCAAATATATATGTATTATATTATAAATAATTTAGTAAAGTCAATAATCTTAAGCTGCTTTCCCACTGAAAACCCAGGTTTTCCCCTTTGATCGAAAAGCTGATTCTGACCCCCTGCTGTCAAGCTGCATGGCCACAGTCCCCCACCACTGCATGTCTGTTGATGGCATCACGCTGGGTGAGCGTTGATTATGTTGACAGTGGGACGGAAATCAGCAAAGTAAACAATGGAGAGCAACATGTAAGGAAGCCAGGGCGTAGTGAGTATTTTTTATTATTTCGCTCTTTTATCTGTCCAAATCTCTCTTACGGTGTGCCATGCTTATCAAAGGTAAACAGTGTAGCCTTGGTTTGTTAGATCAGAAGTGTCTGGCACCGTGAGTTGCTGTCAGTTAATTGCGTTCAATGCTATCAAGTAATTTAGCAGGTCAACCCCTGTTCCCACTACATGCCAATCAAAGCCAAGGCGACTGTAACTTGGGTCGCTTGCAAATCCATTAGACCCGGGTAGACACGCATCAGTGAGCTGTTCTCACTGCCACTAAAAGACAATTGTTCCCTGGTTTAAACAGGTTTTTTGGGCAGTGTGAAAGGGGTATTAGATGTATCTTAGGAAGGAGCTGCTTGGACACACTTCTATGTGTGTAGCCACAGATTCCCTTTGGTTATATTCCTGGCTAAATATCTGACTGCTCATGCTCTGTCATGACTTACCTTTCTGGCACGGATGATCTGAAACATGTCATCTGTCTTAAAAAGTACAAAAAAGAAGTCTAAACATGTAATGATTGAAGTACTTACTAACCTGCACAAAACATAGTTGCTTTCGCAGACAGCTTGGCCTGCTCTGTTTCTCCGGCTCCTAAAGCATTCCCAACTCTAACATTGCCTGCAATGCTGAAACCCATTGGAAACTACCAAAATGTAAAATATTACCAATTTGATAAACAATTTGAAAAAATTAGTTGTGTACAATTTGGACTTTTATTTAGCTCACCATGTAGGCAATATTTGCCAGTTGAAACACAACTGCCTGCGCTCCAAGTTCAACCTCACTTATTAGACCTTTCAAAATAAAACAGGTATGACGTTTCAGACCTATTTTAGAAAAAACAAAACATCTTCCAAATTATAATTCTGACTTTGTAAATACCTGCCAGAAAGCCTCCAATCTCATATGTCCACCACTCAACACACATCATGACCATTCCAGGAATAGCTAAGTGGATATAAGATTTCCAGTCATTGAGGCACTCAATGGACCAGCCTGTAGACGATAGAGGAGAAGGAAAGAAAAGCTAATCATTTTTCAAACTGAAAATCATTCAATAAAAAAGAGAGATGAGACAAAAACTGAATTGATTACTTAAAATAACATCAAAAGTATTGTTCACTTGTTAGCCATGTCTTCTTTAAATATAGACAATATGACTTAATGCACTCAGTCCAAATCTATTTGCAATGCAAATACCGGTATGTTGGATTGCTAATTAGCAGGGTGAGTTAAAATGGAATAAACAACCTCCTTCGATGTTCACAGTATTAGCCTAGTAGAGATTGTTTCAAATCAAGCTCTAGATCTGTGAGCAAACTGGTTATATTACTTTTTTTTTTAAATAAAAACCTTATCTTGTACACCCAGTTTCATATATTTATTTTCATAAATGCAAATGTGTACTTGTTAATAAAATGCCATCAAGATTCTTCCTGGTAAAATCATTAGTTTTATAATGTGGTTGATTCAAATTTTTTTGATGAAAGGTTAGAGTTTTAGCTGTGGTGTTAGTTCGATTTATAATAAGATTATGGTTATGGTTATAACTGTACTGGATTTAAATAAAAATAGGTGTATTTACTCTTTGCTTCAAATTTAACCTTTCTCTACTACTTGTCTTTTTTACAAAACAGATCAAGGAACTTTATAAAATAAAACCTTGATGTACAACACAACTTATATATAGTTTAGGTAAGTGTTTACAATTGGTCCAAGAACTGCTTCAGAATTCCAATAGCTGTTTTTGGTAAGGTGTTTTCTAGAACAAGGCCTGTAAAAGGATCTAAAGCTCCCCTTGCATGAATCGAAGTAGGATTTTGGTTTGAGTGTAGTACAACTACCTCTGAAAAAACCCTGTTGCATCCTTTGCTCTTAGCTGATTAGATTCTTATCATATTTTGCTTAATTGTTATGCTGCTGAGGTTGTGGGGAAAACTTCTTCATTAAGAAATTATTTAATAGCAGAGTCTCAGCACCTTTTGAGGCCTAAAGAAGAAACATTAGAATGCTAAAATTTAAAGAGTAGATCCATATTTAAACCCATAGCTTCGCTGTTTATTTCTTTCTTTTAGTGTTGAAATAAACCTTCGTTACCTATGCTGACTTTTCTTCTGAGCAGCTTTTTTGTTTACAAGTAAAACATGTCTTACAACCGTGTCAGTATACATTTCTTCACCCTCCACCGTAAACTCAATAAACTAAACATAACCTTAAAATAAAATTAGTAAATGCCTTAACAAGTTAACCCTGCATAAGGAAACTTTCACTTATCTTGTTCCCTTGCTCTAAGTAAAAAAAAAAAAAAAAAGAAATATGAGTGTTTTCCATCAGAGTAAAGACACATCTGTCATGATCTGTGGGAGTGTTTTTTATTTCCCGTTTATTTTTATATCTTATATGTATCTATGTTGTGCTCCCTTGTTCCTTGTGTGTTATATGAGCCAATTCTCCCATTCCAGTTACCTGCCTTCCATCTCAGCAGCACCGACTTTTTAATCAACAACTTTTTCTTTGTCTATTAATCATCTCAGCAGCTTAAATATCTCCCTGCTAACTACTTTTGGACAGATGATTGTCTTATTCACAGCAGGGTATGGGCCTTCAGTGCAATCTTTGATTCTCCATGAATTAGTTTTTTCTTTTGCTTTTAATCCCCCTGCTTCCTTCCTCCTATCTACAATTAAGGTCCTGCTCCTCATCATTATATGACAGCATCCTATCAATATGTGTTACTCACCTCCCCAGGTTGTCTTGTGCAGACCTTTCCACATGATGTATGCATAAAGGAATCCGGCCAAGGAGAACTCAGACAAAGTGTTTGCTAAAGCAGAGCCTCTACAGAATTTCCCAATGTGACATTTACAAAACAAATGCTTAGATTAATCTATAAAGCTGAGAATGTGATCTGATGTACAATAAAAAAAAAGTTAGAAATACTCACGCAGTCCCCATTTTTAATAGGAAAAGCACAATGTAGTTGATGAGCGCATTGAGTAGATTTACGATCAGCCCTGTGACCACCTGTGGCCAAATTATGCCCTTCAATAAAATACCATATGTTGTTTAATTACAATTTTGCACAAATTGACATGTCTCAAACAAACAAAGGTCAAGAGTCTACAATGACTGCAATTACACAGAGATGAGCCTGGATACCAGTGTTCTATATCAAGGGAGCTCTATTTATAAAAAAAAACAAACAAAACAACAATAAATCCAACATAATAAACCGGTCATAGACATCTTATCAATCTAACTGCCTTTTAGATGGAACATATCATATTCTGGTCCATTATACTTTGTACTATCAGAGTACTATATTTCAGCTTACAGTTGGTATAAAATAATGAACCTACCTGGTTTTGAAGGTATTTTGACTCTAAGGAAAACATGAAAGCAGCCTGAAAGACAGTAAGGGGAGTAATTGGATTAAGCTTGTTAAGTCAATTTTGCAAGTTCTTTTTTTTCTACTTAAATATGGACTGATGTCAGTTTTGGCTATGAAATCCTTCTAAAGTAGATTATTGCAATGAGAGAAAAAATGTTAACATTAGCCTGGGAACTTTAAACAGTATGACTAAGAAGTTTAAGCCCCATTGTATTAAGTGCATACAACTATCAGTTAACTTTATATAGTCAGATCAGAGTACAGTAGAATATAACCATCATAGGAAATGCACACAGACAAATGGAAGAAAAACAAGCCAACCAATACAGAGGATTCAGGATGGAAAAATAAGTATGATAGTTGGTGCTTCTCTGGTATAAATCACTGCCTTATTCATATGAAGAGAATGCTTCTCATTTGTTCCTCTTCTCTATGTTATTATTTGACTCATTTATTGGTCATCTGTTCACCCATTCACATCCTCACTTTCATGATTCACTAAACCCACTCTTACTCCTTCCTTTATGGTGAAAGTTTCCAATCCAGGAACAAAGTACCAGTTTAACCTTACTGTGGAAGATTTGATATTTGTCAATAGCTAACTACAGTATACAGCATACACATTCCATTATTCATTTGTGCCAGTTTTGTGTTAACACAACAATCTATAACATCAATGAAATACATTTTTACTCCTGACCTGTCTGAAATATCTTTTACCTTTCATTATCTAATGAACTCTGATTATGAGTATTATCTGATTATTTTATAATTGTAAAAAGCAGAAACTTATAAAAAAAAAAACAGCAGAAAATGGACAGTGGATGCTGATTCACACAAAGCACACAGGTCCCCAGGTTTCTGCCCTTAAACGCTACAGACCATAACCCTAAACCTAAACTTTCACACTTTCATGTGGACCTCATATTACTTTCATGTGGACCTCAGATTACCTTAATAAAAGTGTGTAGAGAGCTTTATAGAAATTGTTTCCATGGCCCAGCACATGCATCCAACCCATACATAACCAAGTGAAGTGAAGTGTTGTATAGCATTGATTTTCAAACTTCTGACGCTTCTGATTCAGCAAACATCAAACATTAGGTATGTATAGGTGAGGAAATACCTGAAACACGTAAGTACTGAATTTGAAAACCACTGGTATAAAGCAAGCCACCACTAGCTTCCAGTCTAGAACCGTGGTAGTGTATTTTCTAAGGTGACAAATTGTCCATCTGGCAATCTGATGGATCCGTCTAGTTCTGGCTGTTGTCATGAAAATGTACTTGTCTGACTGTACTGTGACAAGGAATTGTTTTCCAGGAACTTGGCTTTCTTCCTTAGTTAAAGTGAAATGAACCCTAAATGCTTCAACATATCAATAGATTTGTGACAATGCCAAGCTCATTGTGGAAACAATGAAGATTGCCCCTCTTCCAACAAGACTGTGCAACAAGGAGTGAAGGACAGTCCATGAGAGAGTTTGGTGTCCTGCACAGAGTTCTGACCTCAGTCTGCTGGAACCTCCAGTGGATAACCTACAGTGGAGACAGCTCATGTATGGCAGAGTTCCTTCATTTCAGCCATAGAGGTTTTGTGTCCTGAACCTTTTAAATAACTCTACTTCAACACACAAGAATGACATGACTGAATTAACTCCTAAGTATGCAGTCAAGTTCTCAAAAGTCCTGTTAACGATCCGATTGACTTGGTGTATTGTAGTACAGGAGTATCTAAAAGGTACAGGACACTGGAACTTTGGGGCTGGAATTTTAAGAATCCTGATGTATGGTGTGGAAGGGTTAAGAAATCCCTTAATCATGCTCCTAAACCTTGTGGAAGGTTTTCCTATAACCGTTGAAGCTATTATAGATACAAAGACTAAACCAACAAACTCTATATTAAGAATGGTATGTCACTAATGCGATCAAGGCAGGTGAGCAAATACCTTTAGCAATGCAGAGTAGGGTAACTTTTAGAATAATACAAAAAAATAAGCTGAATAATTCTATCTGGAATAGATCGAAATGTACATGTATCAATTTTTTTTTTTTTAGTAATAGTTCAGATTTATGATTTTTTTTTTATCTTGGTCCTGCATCTAGACTGTGATAGTGTTAATGTGTTTAAGTTAATGGTTTAGTTTAAGTCAAGTGAAAAATTTACTTTTAGAATTTTGTATGTAAAAATTATTGAACTACCGGCATGAAATGATGAACAATAATTTATGTAAAATATACTCACTGGAAGTGCTGGCATGAAGATCTTAACGTACATCTGAGCCAAACTATTGAGAGATTTTTAGAATCAAAAACAAAAGGGATTATTTTCATAAATACAATGAGCAGAGGATGCGAGTGGATTAAGACATCTGACCTGGCTACCTCTGGCTCCTGTTTGACTGCCAAAAGAATGGGCTCAGTGTTGATGAGGATCGCCCAGCAGGGGAAACAAGTCAGTAACAAAATGAGGATTGAACGCTGCAGAATGACCCCAACTCTCAGGAGGTTACCACTCCCATATGTCTAAAATATATAAAGAAAATTACTTTCTAACTCAGACTGTTTAATTCCTTTAAGACACCCAGTTTATGTTTAACACGTGTGATTGGTTGATGTTCATACCTGGGATATCAGCGTGTCACACGCTGATGCCAAACCAAAACCAATGGATACACCTGTGACATTGATAACCTGGGGAGACAGAAAACAAACCTAGAATAAGCTATCAATCAGGTTCAGAACAGTTGGATTTTTAAACAAGTTCTTTCTACTTACAGCAATGGCCAAAGAAACTCCTGCCAGCTCTGTTTTCCCAAGATGGCCACAGAACACGGTGCTGACAAAACTCACAGCATAACTCATGAACTGGGCCATCATCTGAAAGACAACATAAAGAGAAATCTGAGACAACTATATTTATAAATGCATACGTTTTCACGTAACATCAAGCAAGGTAGTGGTCACCATAGAGGTATCCCGCTCGCGGCAGCAGACTACTAAATGTACATAGTCTCTCTCATGACTGGACAAATTTCAGATTTGTCCAGTAATGACACTGGTTAATGAGGCTTTAAACACAGTGACTCAGGTTCATGACAGCTGACCAAATCTACGTTGTTATAAAGTTGTTGAGAAGTTTAATTAATAGCACATATTCACCTGAACTTTGATGAAGTCTGTGTGTTACAGACTCTAGTTGCGCAGACTGAAGTGTATATGACAATAAAGCAGAGAATCTCAACCTATTTAAAGCTACAGTGTGTAATTTTCAGCGACATCTAACATCCAGACTGCAGACCCCAGCAACATGAACATCTCCCCCCCACCACTTCTCCCCCCCAACAGTACGGCGAGCGTTACGGGACAAAATGTCTTCCACGACGTCCGCATCACCTACCTTCTCAAGTGATGAGGTTTGTTTACATAGATAATTTTACAGATAGTATTTCATTAGTCTGTGTAGGGTACAAATTTCATGTGGACTTAACATAATAAATATACGCGTAATGGGCGATCTCGCAATCGCTAGTTTGTTGGCTCTGCGCTGCCGTAGCGCAAAGATGTCTGCCTCCATGGCTGCGAGACCCGCTCCTATGTAATTATAAATAACGAATTCTAAGGCAACGCAAATATTAAGGTTAAGAGGCTGAGCTCGTAGATGATGATAAATAACATAGTTATGTGTAATATATTACATTTCTGACTGTATATCCCTGTAATTATTACACACTGTAGCTTTAATGATTTATTCTTATTGTATTTTAAATAGGCCTATAGGCACATAGGTCTTTTGTCCAAAAAAAAAAAAACAAGAAAGAAATTTTGACAGCACCCCAAGTTAAAAATTGACTTCCAGCGGCCCTGTAAAGAGAACTTCACATGGAGCATACAGCCGGTAAGAGTTTGCAAATTCAATCAAAGACAGATGCCTGTATTATGGAGCCCAGTTTTATTATGATTACAATTCGGAGAAAAAAAAAGTGAAGCCTGAAAACAACATTAAAGTGTTTAAGTATGGGGTTGGCAGTACCATGCTGTTTTGGGTGTAGCTGTTAGACTAGTGATCTCCAAATGAAAATCTGCCCAGGGCACAGTAGGGGTGGCTTTGTCTAGTTGTAAAACCAATTATTACACAAGATATTTACTGTAAACTTAAAGTGGAATTTTAAACATTATTTAATTGTATCCATTCCCTATGATACTGGATAGTGACAGTATATTTAATCATAGGACGCTTACCACTGGAGCGGCCAGCTTAGATAGCTCTTTAACTTCATTCTTGAAACCCAACGGAACCAGCTTGCGGATCCGTCTTATTGCACAACACTCAGTCCATGAGGAGCGCCCGTCCATGGCTGCGGTTACCTCAGCGCGTCTTCAGCAGCAGCTTTTAGTGCGTTGGTGTTACCTCTCTTCCCTGTCCGAAAATTTTTTCCCTCACAGATTCACACCGCCTGTTCGGCAAGAGATTCTGTTACCCTTAGTTCTGTTTCCACATGCGCCGGGGGCGCGCAGACCGATTTATAACCGTTGCGCTCTGATTGCGCAACAGGGTAATAAGGTATATTAATAGGGTTTCGGGCGGAGCTTTGGGGGAAACTAGCGGTATGATAATGTTGAGAGCAGACCGATGAAACACCTGTTTGACTTTTCAGGGAAAGAAACGTCACGAGGCGCGTGTGAAGCTGTCAGCGCATCTGGTTGTGCTACAGTTGTCTCACTTTTATTGATCTGTTACAGCCTCCGTTTTACATTCATGCTTACCATGGATATAAAGAAAGAGGAAAATGATGAAATATGTTGTAAACTGACGCGTGGTCTCGGAGAGGCCAGCCTTCTGTCAGAGAGATTTGTAATTTTCAAAACTATCCCTACCGCTAAGACCAGGGGCGGATCTAGATGGGGGGCCAGGGGTGGCCATGGCCTTAGCCAATCCTTGGCCACCCTACCATTTACTTCCCTCTTATACAGATGGTGGCAACAGTAATACTCTCAAGTGGAATATTCAAAACATTTTCATTTTTCATATATTAACAACAATTAATTATGCACATCAATATACTAACAATAAAGATTATGAATACAGAACTCAAGCAGAAATAGATTTTTTTTGTTTTATGGGGTAAAGAGAAAGTCATCTAGGAGTCTTCAGTGAAATCTTCGATAAACAACTATTTTAATAAAAGCTTATTAAATAATCAATTTATGTAGATATTTTTATTTGTAAATATCAATTTTATGCAGAATGATTGCTGATAAAAGTAGGTGAGCAATGGCAATGGAAATGATGTTCACCAAAAACCTGAATCAATTTTATCCAATTCAATTCAGTTTACTTCTATAGCACCAATTCAAAACACGTAATCTCAAGGCACTTTACAGTTCACCAGATGATACAGTCTAATTGATTCAAAGTTTTCTACCTAAGGAAAACCAGTTGATTGCATCGACTCATTGACTCGAATGCAATCCCTCACACTAAGCATGCTTGTAGGGACAGTGGAGAGGAAAAACTCCCTTTTAACAGGAAGAAACCTCCAACAGAACCAGGCTCGGTGTGAGTGGCCATTTGCCCAGTCCGACTGGGGTTCAAGGAGAAAGAAGCAGAGATACAAAAAGCAGCTGTAAAAGGCGACCCCGTCCAGGAAACACACAGCCAGGCAAACGAGCTCCGAGCCAACTCCCATGTCAGAGGATGAAGCGAGCACATCCAGCCATTCACAGTCAGAGAAACAGGACTACACTGGAAAACAAGCCAATCCCCAACATCTATAAACAAAGGTGTTGATGGCAGCAGCACAGCTGATAATTTTCTCCAGGATGGTGTCACAGCCAAACAGGAATAGACGAGGCAAAGCTACTATGAGAAAAAGCAGAGAGAGCAGAACGTTAGAGATTAAACTAACAGATTCTGCAGAGTGGAAGAATAGAAATAGAATGAATAGAAGCAGAATGATGAAATGGGGGTCCATATGTCCTCCAGAAGTCAACTATAGAGATAGCTTGGGATAACCTGAGCCATTCTTCCTATAAGCTTTATCAAAAAGGAAAGTTTTAAGCCTACCCTTAAGCCTATCCATTATACCTTTTATCTAGAAAGCACGGATGTTTGAATATATTCGTCTATTTGTAAGCAAAGGCTGTGTGAAAATATAGTGTGTCTTAATTTAGAAAATAGGGATGTTTTGCTCGTTAATTTTCCTGATGGATGGATTTACTGTGAGGTGTTGGTGCCTATCTACTTTGGGCCACCCCTCAGTGTACAGTGGTTATTGCCTGGCCATCCTTATAAAAAATTTGTGGCTACGCCTCTGCTAAGATCCCAACTTAACCTGCATTTTTTTCCACCTTTCATTCTCCAATACCAGTTTACTTTTTTTTTTTGCAAAATATTGCTGATAGTTTCATGGGGAAAATACTAAATATATATTTTAAAGTAACAAGTGAGAGCAGAGGTGGGTAGTAATACATTTTTACAGCAGTTTGACAGGATTGTAGTTTTTAACTTTTCCCTTTACTTTTCCTCTCTTTATTTTCAGTTGAAATAGTGCCAAGAAATTGACGTTTATATAGGTCCACATTGAAATCACTGGCAAATCAGTTAGGAGACTGCATTAGTCACTTCAGGACTATTTTCCTTTTAGAGAAACTGATATTAATGACACAGATAGTGACATCCAAATGCAGGCTTTATGCCTGGTGCAAATCTATTATGCCAATCTCCCACTCCACCAGAGGCACACTACTCGACTGAGATCTGGTCCCTCTTGGATCCTTTGGGGTACAGTGAAGACCTTGAACATCAACAAGTTGTTTTCAGCACACATTGATGGATGAAGCTTATAGGGGTGGGAGGGGATGGCATGCCATGTGTTTGACACATTTCTTATTTAGCAATCCAAATTAAAAGGCCTACTAACATATTATCTGAGAATGTATCAGATTTGTCAAGCAGAACTTTTTAAGACATAGCCACTGTAAACAACCACTAGATGGAACCAAACGGCAATTTATTAACACTACTGCTACAGCTTTGATATGTTTACAAATGTTTAAAAATACAGCGCAATGGCAGAAATTAAATTAAATCAACGAAATAAATACAGCCTCCTGAAGTGCCAGGGCATTTTCATTATTTTGTAGGACCCAATGTGTAATAACAACAAAGCATTCCCTAATGAAGAATTACTAACCTTAACTTCAAGTAGTATACTTGAAGTTAAGGGTAGCATACTTGAAGTAGTATACTTGAAGTTAACTCTATTAAGAATACTTAAAGCTACAGTGTGTAACTTTTAGCGACATCTAGCGGTCAGACTGCAGACTGCAGCAACATGAACATCTCCCCCCCACCGCTTCTCCCCCCCACCGCTTCTCCCCCCCAACAGTACGGCGAGCGTTACGGGACAAAAGGTCTTCCACGACGTCCGCATCACCTACCTTCTCAAGTGATGAGGTTTGTTTA